GGCTAAAAACGCCTTACTATAGAATAAGGTTTTTTTCCGCACCCTAACTAATGTTCCTACTGTAATTGTATTCCAATGTAATGTTTGTATTTATAATTTATTGGCACTTATGAGCTTTGTACTCACCTTTTTTATTATTCAAATGTGCTGAATGATTGATATTCATGGTTTATTAATAGTATATTTTATTAGATTTCACCCATCGTTATTTTCTCATCTACTTTCAGGCACCAAAACAAAGGATGGAGTCACAACAGGTATCTGACATTAAACATAACACAAATTTGCATGAAGTTGAACAGCAATGTGCCATATTTCCCTGTGCGGCTCCCTGGGGAAGGGAAAGTGCGGCTGTCACAAACAAGCAGAGGCACCCATGGTGACCTCCCATGAGTCCGCCATGTTTGCAGGCTAAATGCAAAGAACACGTTTTACCCGTGACGAAAGGTGAGGCAGAACGGGACACGCTGGATAGGGATAATTGCACAAAGACTACAGACAGTAGAGGGTGTGGTCGTTGTTCTTTAACTGAGAGCCATACGACAATCGAAAGTGCCTGATGCCGTCCTTTATTCTTTTTCGACAGTCGCAGGTAAAACGGTGGAGGGGGTGAGCCAGGTTGGCGGAGCAGTGGTTACCGGGGTGACCAACATAGCCCAGAAAACAGTGGAAGGGGCCGGCAACATCATCGCCACCACCGGATTGAGCAAGAAGGATCCTGCCAAACCGGTGAGAACAAATACTTGAATAGAAGACGACTTGTAAGAAGGTAGCGCTGAAATGTTGAAAAGAAACTCCTTGAGCTACATTTGATACGGATCCTCACCAACATGTAAATAAAGCATGAAGTGTTATGAGAGCCACACATGGGGGGGTGGGGTTAAAAAAAAAAAGTACAATGTTCATGTACATATAACTTTCTCAGAATATTTCAACATTTTCCTGTCATGCTACTACGGTGAAAGGACCTTCCCCAAATCTGTCCTCATTAGAGGCTAAACATAAGATAACCTTTATTTGTCCCACACTGGGGAAATTTGCAGTCGACATCTCCTGTCGACTCATCCTCGGCATCCATCTTTTGCACGTCCACTCAAAATGGCCGTGTGACCTTGAGCCGTTCGTCGTCCTTCGGCTTCTTCGTCATCTTCGCCGATGTTTGCTTTGCCTCGTCGCTCATCAGTCCGGAGGAAGATTTCCCCCGCTTGAAATAAATCAGTCACATCATTGACAATTTACACGTGATGTTACATGTTGAACATGTCTGAGGATGACAGCGTTTCTTTCCTGAGTCACAATGCATCACCATCAAGTGAGAAGATTCCCGACAAGTGACAAGGAACAAATGCTTTTGTCCGTGTAAAGGCCCTTTAACGCGATGACACCCGCACAGACGCTGCGAGTAATCAGGCTCCCCATCCCGAGGGATGCGACACGCCACCTGGAATGTGAGCCCGCTTCTAATGACAAGTCCAACTGGCGGCAGGAACGAAGCGGCAGATGGACGGACTGACAGGCGGCGCATCATCCTTTCGACGATGTGGCCGTTTATCAGTGAGGATAAAGCGGTTCGGAAAATGGATGGATTGATATCTTCATATTTTCACCTGACTTTTTCACAGAATGTATTCACCATGTTTGAAGGTTTTTTTTTGGGGGGGGTGACTTTTTTTTTCGATCCAATTATGGCTTTATGTAAAATTGGCTTTGAGTTTTCCCAAATTTGTTTGATGCATCCATTTTCAACATCGCTTATCCTGACGACGGTCGCCAGCCAGTCACAGGGCACAAACGAACATTCACACCGCCACTGAGTGGGAATCGATCCCACGCTGCCCGCGCACAAGTTCGGCGTGTGTACCACTACACCATCAGCGACTCTTGTTTGGTATAGATAGAAAGACATAAAAACATGAGTACCAATTTGTCTCGCCGTTTGCCTGTCTTCCAGAGCAACGACAATGCCACTGCGCCAGATGCGGCCGAGTCTCCGGTGGATACCGACACCACTGATGCGACGGAGGTGAGACGGCATTAAAATTCAAACAAACACTTGGCGGTGAATGCGAGCGATGACACCCGATCTCATCTTGTCTTATAGGACGACACAGACTAAACATGTTGTAAGACGGCCGATCGGAACATTCCATGTTTCTCTACCGTCGTGCCTCGTCGTCGTGCCTCGTCGTGGTCTTCTCTGATGTCCGTGAGCGTGTGTGTGTATGTGTGTGTAAAATTGTTGTACTGAAAGACGGTGGGTTGTGTGTGTATTGTGTACGTCTTTTGCACATGGGCAAATTGACCTCAGGTGTCTTGGTTATGACAGTGATAATTGTAATTTACTATCGCTGTGTGTGTCAGTCAGTCATTAGCACATTTAACTAGACCACAATTAACCACCTAAGTGTCTCGATAGGAACAATGACCATGACAATATTATCTATTTTTTTGCGTCCGTTTGTGGAACAATATTGTATTTTCAGCATCAAATTGAAAAGCAAAAGTATGTACCTGTGTGTGTGTGATGTCATAGAGGTTTAGTGTTGAATAAAAATATGTGTTGAAAAGTACCGGTAGCTCTTTTGGTCTCGATTGGGGAAAACGCAAACAGTAACTTATTGTAGTAGTAAATATATTACCATGTCCTTTTTCTACAAGTGACAACTAAAATATATAAAACATTGAAACTTTATTTTTTCTGTTTGTGCTATAGGGGAAAAGGAGACATTTACTCACAACGCAGTATTTGTTGAGTGTCCACTTAAGAAATATTTTCTCTAAAAAGTGACTGCATATGCGACTGCTGAGGAAAAATGGATTCACTGGCAATTTATGAACACGAGGGATTGTGTATTGTCGCACGTCTGGTGTACGTGTGGAGTTGACACCAGAAGTGTCATCAAACAAAAAAAGTGAAGCATCGTCCTTGTGAGGCGGGAGCGCTCATTTCCTCTTTCTCCGCTTGAGAGCTTTCCACTCTCCCTCCTGCGTGGCCAAGCTGCCGAAGAGTTCCTTGACCTTCCTCTTCCTTTCCGCATCCCTGTGGGGAAACGAGAAGCGGGTTGAGGGCGAGCGGCGTCCACGAGCTTCTGGAGTCTCGCGTGACAATGACGCGTTACCTTCTCATGATGTCGTCGAGCTTCTCGCTGGCGAGGAAGCGCGTGTCCTTCCTGATCTCCCTCAGCGCTCCCTTGAACTCCTTCTTGTATTTGTGTCGCAGTCTGTGCTCTTCCTTCTGCTCTCTCGTCTGGCCGCGCTTCTTCCCGTAGTCCAAGCTGCAGAAACGAACAAATAGCACGGGACTGAAATACCTCACGTGCGCCTTATTGTGATCACTTTTTATGTTGACCTACACTTGCACAATCTTGGGCGTGAACAGCTTCAGAGGCACAGGCTTCTTCTTATTGAACACCAGACGGCTGCGAGCGAGCGGAGCGGCGCCAAGGACCTCTAGGATCGCCGTTCGAAGCTCCTACAGCACAATTTAAGAACATGTGCACATCAATTGACACAACACGACCCATTTTGGAAAAATCTGTAAGTTGTTTTTTTTTTTAATTTATATCTCTTTTCCATATGTAGATTGGTATCATGCCAGATAGAGAGAAGCGTTAAAAAGACAACCCACCTTTAAAGGCTCCGTTAATAAGGTGAAGGAGAGGTGTTGCGAGAGCAGCGCTGTGATTGGCTGAAAGATGTGCGTGAAGCAAACCAGGTCCTTGTAGAGCACACAGCATTTGCTCAGCAGCTCCATGCACGTGTACACGCATGTCAACCTGACAAGAACATCACGGAATTGCTCATCACTTAACGCGCACGCGATTGCAAACCAAAAGCGGGGGACATACTTTTGCAGGTGATGTTTTCGTAATATTTTATCAGCGCATATTGTCATACAACTGTCGAGTCATTATTTTTAACTATTTTTTCAATAAAAACAAATGCAAAATAATAAATAAAGCAAATCAACCCCTACCTGTAGTGATCTGCGTGCACATCATTCTTGAATGCGAGTTGCTGTGTGGCAGACAGAGGCAGGGTTTTCCTGCTCCAGCTCTTCCAAGATTCCGGGTCCGACAGCACCAGCAGATCGCTGTGTTTACCCGCGCTTCGAAAAGGTGGCACGACGCTGTAACCTGTAATGTCAGGTAAAGAAAAAAAAAAAAAATCATTTTGTTGTCGGCGACAATGAGACGGCTTGAAAACGAGATGGCATCAACCTGCAGAGGTCTTGTCCCGCACGGCCAGGTGTAGCGTTCCGGACAGGAAGTTAATGAGCTCGGGCAGGAAGCGTTTGGAAAAAGAAACGTACTCCACCGCAAGACAGCACAACACTAAACCCGACGTCACGTCCTCTAATGACCTCACCGGGCACTGCGCACACATCATGAGCAGGTTTTAGATGGCGATTATACTAGATGTGCTCAAATAGTGGCCTTACTGGGTAGAGATTGTACTAGGACAATGTGTTATGTACTCTGACTACAGTATGTGGCATGTGTCTTATACTAAATGTGATGTGTACGATACCTATGCTATTGACTGACCACGTGCGACATACGGTGACGATGTGTTGCGCGTACCTTGGTGAGAGCTTGGCCTATGTAAAGCAGCGCTGGTGTGGTGACGGGATGTCGGAAGTCTGACGTGGGAAACAGCAACGCCGCCACCTTCAGGTAAATGAGCTAAAAGTAAAAAGATGCAGTCTCCATAAATACACATGAAGACATACCCGGGGGGGAAAAAAAAAATACAAAGCCATCTCATGCACTTGTACGATTTTAAGTGATCATACCACGTCGAGTGTTGGGAAGGCAGCATTCCCTTTGACTTCAAGCACTTCCTCCATGCTGTGCGCAGCATCTCCGAGGATGGTCTGCATGGACTTACAAGCTGCTTGTGGAAACATCTGACACAAGCTGTACACCTCTCTACGCGGACGATGAAAGAAGAAAGACTTAATTTATTGAGGAAAGGATTTCAAGTAGCAAGATCACAATCGACTCACGGAATTAGCTTGTCGATAGTGGTCAGTTCAGGCGGACTCCGGCAGGCCAGTTCTCCAAGGTAGTCCAACAGAAGACCCACCAGTTTCTGACACACAGATTAGTATTTATTCATAATGAGTTGAATAACGCAAAATAAATCGATTGTTGTACCTGCAGTTTGAGCTTATTGCCCACAGCCAGGCTGGGGTGGTTGCACTTCTGAGTCCGGGCCATGATGAGGCGCTGGTTGTCGGGTGTGTGACCACAAAGTAGCTTTTCAAGATCGTTGGCGCTTTCTGGAACTGGAAGACAACAAAATAAAAAAAAAACAACAACAATGCAAGTTGTTAACCTTTGTCAATAACTGTGCCGCTCTCTGCCCCCCTTAATTGCTCAATAAAGTTTTCTCAATCTAATAATGTAACAGAACGCTAGCACTAGCTAATGATACATTGCTAACAGACTAATTAAAAAGTTTCATTACCAGTGAATGTGTATGGAAGTTCAGCTTTCGCTGCTTCCTGCTGGGCCTTTCTCTCCTCTTTGCTCTTCTCCGGTTTGACCTCCTCATCTTCCTCTTCTTCCTCACTTTCTCGCTCCGACTCCAAGTCTGAATGACCGTCCTCTTCCTTCTCCCCTTCTTCTTCCTCCTCCTCCTCCTCCTCGTCATCCTTCTCCTCTTCTTCCTCACTGCTGGCATCATCCACCTCTTCTTCAGCTTCCTCATTGCTGCCACCACCGACCTCTTCTTCCTCTTCTTCTTCTACTTCCTCATTGCTGCCACCACCGACCTTTTCTTCCTCTTCTTCTTCCTCTTCACCTTTTGCTCCATTTTCAACTGGCTCCTCGTCAAGGTTCCATTTGCCATCCTTTACAACGAAGCAAACATGTAAAGAATACATATTCCCCTTACAATACATATGTTGTGTTCGTGTACAATATCTCGTATCACCTGATAGGCTAAAGTTTTCTTGTCATCCTTGTCCAGGATGAAGCCGTCATGGAGGTCGTCGGCCGACACGTGACTGCGACTCGGTGCTACCTCTGGCTCTTCATCACCCATCATCCTCCTCAGTCGATCCGCCTTAGAAAAGGAGGAATGAGCAGGAAGGCTCCATGATGAGCAAATGGAGGAAAATGCCACGTGGGGGTGTTTTTGGTGAGGAATTATCATTGTTATTTTGTATTAAAGTTTATTTAGCATGATGTGGGTCGTTTAAAACTAAAACTGAAGCTGTTGGTTTTACAACGAAGCAAACATGTAAAAAATACATATTCCCCTTATAATACATATGTTGTGTTCGTGTACAATATCTCGTATCACCTGATAGGCTAAAGTTTTCTTGTCATCCTTGTCCAGGATGAAGCCGTCATGGAGGTCGTCGGCCGACACGTGACTGCGACTCGGTGCTACCTCTGGCTCTTCATCACCCATCATCCTCCTCAGTCGATCCGCCTTAGAAAAGGAGGAATGAGCAGGAAGGCTCCATGATGAGCAAATGGAGGAAAATGCCACATGGGGGTGTATTTGGTGAGGAATGATCATTTACAGTTATTTTGGTATATGGGTCGTTTAAAACTAAAACTGAAGCTGTTGGTTTAGTACGTGAGTAATTGTTGACAGTAAGAACAAGGTGGACAAGAACCACCGTGGGGAATGAACCACATGTTGCTTCACCAAAGACATCATTATCTGATCATATGTAGAAGCTCATTTCCGACACGGTATGCTTGTTAAGAACGTCATTTTGTGAACGCACCTCCAGTTTCTGCAGCTTCTCCCGGTCCTCCCTGGCGAGTTCCTCAGGGGTCTTCATTTTCTCCGAAGGCTGAGCCTTCATCTCGAAGCCCAGCTCCCTCACCATCTTGTCGTACTCTTCCAGCTGTGTAAAGGGCAAAGTAAGCTCAGCGAGGAACTCCAAATAGGGCTGCACGATTATGGTCAGAATCATTTAATTATTGTGAAAACTCATGAACAAAATCATTTTATTTTCCTAAATGCAAATCATGAATGATTAATAACACTATATTTTGATAAATGACATGAAAATATTTCCAAAAGCTTGGTAAGCGGTGCTCCCACCTTTGGTTTCTCCACTGGAGTCTCGTCCCGCTGAGCTTTGGGCTTCTTGCGCACCATGAGCGTCTGGATGCTCTTCCAGTCGTGGTCCAGTTTCTCTGTCAGCTCCTGTGCCTCCTCCTTTTGCACCTGCCGCTCCCTCTGAGCAGAAAGAGGAGGAGCGCGGTTTTATTTGTCATTATCTCATGGCTCCCATGGGTGAGGAGGCGGCTCACCTTCTCCTGTTTGGACTTGTGGATGAGCTCCTCGATCAGCTCCTGCCTGGACTTGGCCTTTGGGCCCCCATCGTCGTCTGGGTGCTCCCCGGCGCTCTTCTTCCTTAAGAGGCCCCCGCCGCCGCCGAAGTGAGAGGCCGTCAGCTCGGCTAAAAGATTCCAATTTAGGTTTTCAATTTGGATTCTAGCATATTGCTGGTTTAAGCACAGTTCCATGCAATTGGATTCCAACGGTGAAAAAAATATGTAACCTTAGTCATTACAGCTTTTTCATTATTTCATATTGATTTTATTAATTCATTTTTGACCTTTTGAATTTTCTTGATTTATATGTCTTTCTTACCTGACAAACGTCCTTTCTCCTCCGACTCATCGTCGCTATTCACCATGTCAGTGAACTTCTCCATTTCGGACAGAGATTGTCCATAATGAGTCAGCTCCTCCTCCTCGTTCAAGTTGTACATGTCCTTCTTCTCAATGGCGCGCTGAAAGATGTCATTAATGATATCGACGAGACTTCAACACGGTCCAATGTTTGTAAAATGGCTACAAGGCTGACCTGTCTCTCCATGGCAAACCTCTGCAGGATCTTTTCCTCAGGCGCCATTTTGGAGTCGTACTCCCCGAAGCGCCTGTCTATGAACTTGCTGCTCTTGTTCTTTTGCCTGTACTCTTTCAGGAGTGTCTCCTTCCTCTATTGGACGTCAGCAAACATCAATTCATTAGACAGTTGAAGTGTCAATCAACACATAGTAAATGGTTTATGATAAGGGGCAGATTGACATTGAAACCGAGTGTTTGATTTGAAATGACTAACTACTGGTGCCGAGGAGGGGGTGCATAATGTAAAATCTTTATTCTTGGAGTCTCACCTTGTTGATGGCTTTGGAGCGGGACACTCCAGGGAGGCCCACATCATGTTTGCTTTTCCTCCCGAGCACATCGAATTTCTTGCGGTTGATTTTCACCTCAAAAGGGTTGTTCTTGATCTCGGCGGAGGTCTTAACTTTGCGAACTTTGTCGGCCACGCTGTGCTTTTTGGGTACCTTCCCCATCTGTGAGTCATTCAGTATCAGCGTTGAATACAAACCACCATTATTATGTAAATGTTGAAGAGTAATTTTACTCTGCACCAACATTTGTTATTAGTAGGTTTACATTAATTATTACTCAGGGGAGTCAGCCCTAAAACTTGCTCAACATTCCACATTTTCGGTTGAATATACTCAAATGAATGGGACGTTATCCAAAATGTCTCAATCAATTCAAAGCTTGATTCCATTAAAAACTTCCATTCATTCAGGCTACCATTTATGATGGTCCAAGAACTCACAATTTCAACATAGATACCATATGTAAATTTCCCCAGTGTGGGACAAATAAAGGATTATCTTATCTTATCTTATCTTATACTTTCCAGGAGAAAATTTCCAGTGAGGCATTTTACCACTTCACATTTAACAATTTGAATTAATTCTAAACCACTTCAGTTCAGCGTCTGACGTTCACTATTCACATGATATTGTCACAGACATAACATTCATCCTGAATATTCACATTACATGTCGCGGTTTCCAAATAGACACACGATTTACAAATATTGCTAGCAAAACTATTAGCTGAACCGTACACAAACCATCACTTGAGAGATTACCGTGTATGCGTCCCGAAGAATCAATTCATACAATCCACCGAGAAGAGGACATTTAATTGCTCAATGGGGCCGACGCGTACTTTAATGACTAAAAAGTAATTTAAATGCACTATCCACGTTGCTTCACTTCAGGTTTCCCACAAGCATACACGCGACGGTGTGAAAGTTCAAAAAAACAAAGGAAAGCAAGCAGAAAGAAGAGCTACCCTCGAGAGCGCGTTTGCCTACAGCGCCCCTCTAGCGTTCATAAATGGAATTACATGTTTCATACGTCAGGAATACGACGAGTGGACATTTCTAAATATAAATTATATAATTCAATTTTGTTCATATAATACACACCTGGCATATAACCTAGAAGCAAATCAACCCAGACAGTGGTTTAGGTACCCCAGAAGTGTACCAGTTATGGTAGAGGGAACATGTGATGGCCATGGAATCGCAAAGACAAATTACAGAAATTCATTTTCAAGAAACAGATGCTAACAAAGCTTATGGCTTGCATGGATAAAAGCAGGTAAGTCAAATCAATCAGGCAGATTTAAAGGGTGAGTCATTTATTTTACTTTATTGTAGTTTTATTAAAAGATGACGGAGTTGTAACACAGGATTGTTTATGTCTACGGCACATACATGACCTAAAAGGCAAATACATTAAAATAGTTTGCAGAGTGTGTTTAAAGATAAAAAATGAAAAATAAAGAGTGGTTGACAGCAAGCTAACGATGGCTCGTCTACAGCGTGTGACAAAATAAAACATGTAATATTCAGGAAAAAAAAAACATACACGTAAATCAATGTTTGTATATCTTTGTACACATTCCTTCATAGTAAAGCAACCACAGGAATAAAGCCCATAACTGACAGGTTGTTAATTAGCTCGTATACGTTAGCCGCAGTCACTAAATTAGTACTTTTTGCAACTTTAACTTTGAAATGAGTGGCTTTTTCTTTCTGCGTTGACTTGTTTTTTTATCTTAAAAGACACTTTCTTTATATTGTTATACAATCCAAATACATTCTGGTGGTTACAATAACTGGCTTTGCTTTGCACTTGGTGCGTCTTATTAGACATGCATTAAAAAAAAAGGCTAGCAGAATGGACAAAGACAGGAGGCATCATACCCTAAATAACTTTTTTTTTTTCACACTGTATACAAAATTGGCACGCGCTAAAGGAAAACTAAAGGTTAAAAAGCCAGAGACTAGTGGTATTGAAACAAAACAAAAAAAAAAAGCGGGTAAAAGCTTGAGGAAGCTCATACTTAGGACTCGGTCTTCTTTTTGTTCTTCTTCAAGAAGGAAGGAGTGCGGAACTTCTTTTTCTTTTTGGAAGGGGACTTGCTGGGAGACTCGTCGCCTTCTGCGTCTGCAGCAGCGAGTTCCTCGACATCATCGGCAGTTTCGGTGGCAGCAGGGGCGGGGACGGCATCGGAGTCCTCGACGGGAAGCGCAGGGGCATCGGACGGGTCGTCGGGGGTTAAGTCGGGCAGGGTCTGTTTCAGGGTGGCGGCGTCACTGTCGTCCTTAAATGTCGGCTCCGGCAAGGTCTCTGATGGGAGACAGTGGCAATGGTTAATGACAGAAAGAGGCTGCTGTTGAGCTCACACTCTCACACCGACCAAGCTGGTGAAAGAAACAAGCCCCTTTTACCTGCCCGGAAAACCCCAACATTTCCCCCACAAGTCGTAGCTCTATACAAACCACACAGACACAGAATGAGGGAAACAAGTTGACTTCGCCATTTTCCGCGTTCGGAGGCAAGTATAACACTGCCTGTAAAATTCTGGATTTTTCACCCGTCCTTCAGTCAACTTTCTGTCTAAAAGACACCAACACAAAATGGGAACGAGTCACAATTCTCCACCTTCGGCCATCGCAGAAGAAGTAGCTTTTTTTTCACCTTTCCTGTCATTTGCTAAATGGCACCAACGCGGAATGAGGGGACAAATTCGATAGCGCTACTTTCCGGCTTTGGAGATATATTGTTTGGGAAAAAAAAAACCCAAAACACACTGCTCATAATCTTGCCCGCATTAAAAAAAAAAACCCCACACAAAACAAAACACTGTACTTCCTCAAACGGTGGCCTCCACTCTAATAGACAGGGCACCCCAATTAACTAATTGCTACACAGTAGCACAATGGTGCTTCTTTCTCCATATCGTGTGGGCTTTGATTAACATGGCGACTGGCATCGCCATGTTTCAGTGAGGATGCTTTGCCTCGACGCAACAAGGTCTGCCGAGCAGACATGTCATCTATGCAGGGATGGCAGTTTGAAAGTGCTCTATATATACAGTTGAGTTGAGTTGAGTGTCAAAAAAATGCCCACAAATTTAAAGCTAGGGAAGAAAAACCTGAACGAAGCAGAGAAGAGGATGCTGTACGCAGAACTGATAACGGGGATTCTTTGAAGTCGAGTCAAGAATAAGGGCCGGCCACGATATGAGGAAATCAGAGTGCTCTTTCCATCGTTTAGCTTTACCTTCATATAAGCAGCAAAATCTTAACAAGTGCCAATCCTTTGATCATTTCCACCCTGTGTATACAGACAAAAATATGTATATTATATTCTGCTCTAGACTACTTTGGCGCTTTCAAAGGTTAAGAAAGCAAAACCACACAAGTGAGGTCAACACCACCACACGGCAACATTCTTAACCTCCTGAGACCTGAAACGCTTCAAGCCACTTTCTCTCGTTCCACAGACATGATCCTCATCTAAAAGTGTATCCTCATCAAATTTCCCTTCAACTACGGAACTTCTCAGAAGCTCCAAGTTCGGAATGAAAAACTGCTTCAAAGGGTCGCAGGAGGATAATTGAATCTGAAATGATGCTGCAGGTTTAAATGAAACAAACAGCCACATGACGCTCTCACAGCTACCAAAAAAATATCCGTTTAAATGTTAGTCTAATACTATTAAGCCTACGGCACAACCAGTCCTCTCCCACACACCCACACACATAGACGCATTCAAACATGGCGACAGCTTTTGGCCTTGGAGCAGCGTTTCCAAGCGCGACAGCATAAAAAAGCCAACAGCAGGAAGCCACACACGCACACTCAAATAAGGCACTTGTGTACCTGGTGAAGGAGACATCTGCAATATAAAACATGAAAAAAAAAACACACATTCAGGATTTCACCCGACCGTTTTGAGAGGCAAAATGTGTTTATTTTGCAACAGTGGGTCATTGGCAGGGAGCAAGGTTAGCTACTAACAAAAAGGTGGGGGAGTGAGGGTTACTTCAGAATCATCTGCTACGCTTTACTTAGTTTACGCATTAAAAGGCCGTTCGTTGGCAAATTATTTCATCATGTGAACAAAACGGCCACAGCGAAACCGTTTTTTTGGTGGTTTTTCGTTCAACTGATTTGAGTTGGGGGAGCTCTGAAATAAACCTCACTCACATCCGGAAGGAGCTTTAAGAGCCACGGAGTCATTAGTCCACAGAGCACGAGCGCTACAGGCATGCAGCAAGAGGAGGGGCGTGTCGGAAGACACGCATGGAGATGGTTTGGCGGGAGGTCATTCGATGGGGGTGGTGGAACTCTGCGTACTTACTATGGTAACAGGTACTCTTTTGCATTTCCATCTCCTGATTGTAATCGCAGCCACAAAGAAGAAAAGAAGCACAAGTAGAAACAAATGTCTATGCAGATCAAACCACAGGCACAGTGTTAAAATGAAAAAAATAAAATAAAAAATTTGGGGTGGTAGGGGGGAAAGAATGGTGTCCCGCCATTCTTAGTGGACCCCAACGACATGGACGATGGAAGGCGGAGGATCAAGGGGGAAGACAATAGAACAATAGCTCACATCTTGGATTACAGCTGACGTCAAAGCTGCACACCGCTTCACACTCATCTTGACTTCAACTACAGAATTACAAATCAATTATTTCGTACACTTTGGATGCCGCTGTGACACAGGTGTAATCCAACTGTAATAAAGACCAAGAGGAAGCGCATACGCATCTGGCTATATTTTGTAAATTCAGCATGAGAAATGACTTGCGTTCATACTTTTTGAACAATTTCTACCATAGGAAATAGTGAAATCAGTTCCAAAGGTATAAAAACAAAAAAAGTTTTAGTAACAATTGTACTATTTTAATTGTTGTAAACGTTTTTCCTCAAACGGTGGCCAGCAATTAACGAATTGGCCCCTTAATTGGCTCCCCGACAGATGTGAAGTGTCATTTACCTTTTTAGACACGGTTTCATTTCAACATTCTATGTAAGAGCTATCCTATGAAATTAAATACTTTTCCTTTACTTGTTGTGTTATTTAGGAGTAGTCTATATGGGGTCTTGCTAGTGCACCTAAAGGTAAACAACAAAATTTGACGTTTTCGCCACTGATCTAAAGAACGAAGTAGACATTTGTTTAGCCTTGACGTTGAGAAAAAAAAAAGCTAATGATTGAGTCAAGCAAGAGAAGACAAGAATGTGACTTGAAATTGTTTATGAAGTATTTTTAATGTTTGAATTCCTTTTTCCTGTTATTTTGACAATTGGACTAATTTTGCCTCTTGGCCTGTTATTACCCAAACACAGAACAATCGTAATGCGATTAAAACATTTAAACAGCCACACAGATGCATTGGACACTCCATATTGCCCTCGAGAAGACCACCGGAGATGTCCTCCACCCAGCCTGGAGGACTGGTGGAGGCCAAGTTGAAATCAAAACGGGCCAACCGGAGCCCCAGGAGAAATAATTGGGCCAACCTTACCCTCCTCTGCTCTGACTGGAGTGCTGGGTGGCGTACAGGTGGCCTTTGGGTCTTTGGCCTCGGCCCCTTCCTCTGATTCTGGTAATTGCTCTTGATCTGGGGAAAAGACGGACGTAAAGAAGAAAGAAAGAAGGAAATTATTTGACCACCAGGCAAAATAGAAAAGACAGAGTGACTTCAGGCAAGAGGGCGTTATCCATTCAGCTGCAGTTGAAATCAAGCCCCTTAAAAATGTCCCCAACATTGAAGACACATGGACAAAATCCTTGGTAGAAAGAAAAGGCCACATTTAGTACAGAGGGAAAATTGAAACTTGACAAAAGTAATAATAAATACAAATGTATTGAAAAGCAAAGAAGGGTAGATTGTCTTCTTCTAGGGTACCAACAACGTTGTCCACATGTGTCGGCTTGAATTTGCGTCAACGGTGCAGGAGAGATTGAACACCAACAGACATCAATCGGGGAAGGGTTAGCAGGAAGAAGCATCACCGTTCCAGTCCAAATACGGGCTGTTCTGATTGGAGGGGCTAAGCACAGCATACCACAGCAAAAGGCACGTTTGGATGCGAGGAGCGAGCACCCGGGCGTCCTCGGCTCCCCGTTCCAATCTGCAGAATTCTCGGATGCCTTCGACATCAGAGCGAGGGAGTTTGGGGGCGGGGAGGGGAGCAGCAGACTCAGGACCCACCCAGAGAGGGGAGAGAGGACAGGGCAGGATCGCCTCCGCTTCGCCTCATGTACCTTCAGCCTGATCCGCCTCCTTACTGAGGGCTCGCAGCACGGCGCAGTGGAACTCCTTATGGGGGGAGTCCGGGGGGACCGCATCAGCAAGGCCAAGGGTCGAGGAGCCCTGCCCGGAGGCTGTTGCTGTGCCGGCCGCAGAGGGCGCGGCAGGGGCTTCAACCGTCTGCGCGCTTTCCAGCTTGGAGGAAAGTGCTTCCTTACAATCGCCTTCTTCCTGCACTGTGAATCCATGTTGGCAGCGCACGTGTAGGCGGGGAGACATCATACCCACTATATTATCGATACTAGAACACAACGGCTCTTCGGATCTGGAACAATGCAGCATGACCCAAAAAGTGTTCTGATTTCAAATCTTTGTATTCTAGCAACAGGTTCAGAGGAAACTACTGCTGTATGTCAGCGCAAAATGAAGTTTAGGTATTGTTTGAAATGGACACATCCCAGTCGACCTGGTGCGCAACACATTCAGACAAATGAGCACTACCTCAAATAGATGCTCCCCCATCCCCACAAAAATAACTGGCAGTAACTATATCCCAGTTAACAGATGCTAGCCTTCACAAGCGGACAAGAAAGATTTCGCCGCTGAGTCCGTTTTCACTCTGTTACTAACCGAAACAACGGCAAAGACAGACGTACATAAACGGTCCCTCAGATGAATCTTGCCAAGTCTCATTTTCCCCCCAAACTACTGTTTGCAAATGATGGCACTGGCACATGGAAGACGGTCCAATCAGACTACTGCGACGTCACCCCGTTATGCTACTCACAGCCTCAAGGAGAGCATCTTCGTCATGCACAACAACCACAGCGATCGCAGTAGCTATTTTACCTTCAGGTCCTTTCTGCTTCAGCTCAACCTCTCGACGATACTCATCCAGCTCTTGATCGGTGAACTTGTTGAAGGGGTTGGGCCCCTGCTTGCTGACGATCACCTTGGGCTGGTACTCCTTCTCGATGATGGCCTTGGACGCGGTCACCAGCTCCCCCTTTTGGGACAAAGATGAGAAGGCAAACGGCAAAACAGAAAGACACTTCAAAATGATGGTAGGAGATCAAGACAAAAGCTGAAATGTGACATTTACATCGCTTGTAAAAGCTAACGTTTCCCGGCAGTTCGGATTCCAGTAAAGGCAGCATTATTTACGAAACAGAAAATATTTTTTCATGCTTTATTTAATGCATTTTGTTTAATTACTTGTGACATAAAAATATTTAATTTGGGATTTGCTAAAATTATTTCACAGTTGATCTTTAAGTGCTTTATACGTCACCCGGAATGCTGGCCCAATCTCAGGATCAAATTTTAAGATTTGGTGTTGCTGTGGAAAAGCGCACACGGTTGCGACAATCCTACTTTGCTGGATTGTAGGCGAGGCGCAAAGGTGGATAACATGCTGCAAATTTGCAGGGTCTATGCATGAAAGAGGCAAAAGTCACTCCTGCACAGAGCATAGCCTCCTTCATACACGTCATACAAACATGGCGACCGACTCCCCTGAGAGAGAGACGATGTGAGGAACAGATTAGTGACTGGAGCTGCAAGTACCTTTCTAATAGATCTAGCAGGACTATAGGACCCCTCGGAGGCATCGAGGGCGTCAATAGTGTCTGTACAGTCAGACAGAGGGGCATCCTGCAATAGTAAACCCAGTGAGGGCGGAAGGAGGTAGACGGGGGCAGCAGACTCATGTTAGCAAGCGGGAATTTTGATACACGCATGCAAAGGCGGAAAAGTTGCGCACAAGCAGCAACATAGCTGTAACTCACTTTAGCGTACTCCCTCAACTCCCAAATTTCCTCATATAGTGGCCAGGAGTATGCATGCAGCAAGTGTTTTTAAGGTGTGGCATTTATTTAATAAATACATAGTCACCACTATTTCTGGAAAACATGGTCTTAGCTTTATTAGAAGATGGAGACTTAATGACTTTATAACAGTTGATAGGAGTGGGATTGTATTTAGTTGAATGACAAATGCGCATCCACTGAAGCAAACATGCAAGGAAAGCTCCATCCGCATGCAAAGTGAAGCGACACCATGCTTCAAAGCGGCATCTGCTCATATGAAAGTGAATTCTAATATCAACAAACTCAACTACATAGCAGTTGTGTTCATTTCCCCCACATCCCGATCTTGCCTTGTATCCTGGAAGTGGAAATACTACCCGACAGACGGCGATGAACGCATGCACCCAGAAGTCCTTTTTTTTTGCGCTCAACATTCCATGAAGCCTGCCAAAGCTTATCCCAATATTAACAAAATTATGACATCATAATATAGCGCCCAATGTTCAATTATTGCAGCTTTTTTGGTATCAGGGGCTCCCGACCTGGAAAGTGACAGTATTTTAGCTCCATTTCCACCAAGGAACCACCAATTTCTTTCTGTTTTTGTTGTTTAAAGGTTTTTAAGGGTACCAAAAAGACAGCCCATTTTTTTGGCACCTTACCTTAGGTGTACCGACCACAGTGGCAGACTACCTAAAAAGGAGGAGCCACCCACACTAGTTGGCATAAAAGCCGACAGAACGTTTTCCTTTGCTTCGACTTAGCCAAGCACAAATCATGAAATGTAGGAGGTGACGTTTCCACCCATGAAACTATTACATATTGGCACAGATCCGGACTAAGGTGCACACGAAGGAATTCATTTGGTCTTTTTTGTCATGACAGTCCACTTGCTGTGGGGCAGCGACCCAACAAACGGAGAGTTGTGCAGTGTCGCAATTTGAAGGCATTTTGTAATGCGCATTATCAACATCTACAGGATTGGGCATGTTTGGGCTTGATGGAGGTAGCCCATGTTTTACCTTCCTCTTGATTATATCCCGCCTACTTGGTGGAAATGTGGCATTTCTTGATGTATGCATATGTACACCCACAATAATATTTTGGTCAATTTGTGATGTATAAAGCAATTAAGAGTAATTATACAATAAAATAGGAGCCAATATTCTTTCCTCTCCAGGTCGGGACAGAGGTGACATTGCGGCACCGACCTGCTGAAAATTGCGCTCCACCACCGAGCCAGCACACAGAACCTGAGACTGAGGTCCTGCGGTCTTAATGTCCTGCAGATTCTGCTCACGGATCTAAAAAGACACAAACGTCATAAGAATGGATAAACTGTCATAATAAAGATGATGAGGAATGAACAGGAACAGAATCCAAGGCTACCTTATTCCTCATTTCCAGTACTTCTTTGGGATTGGTGTTCAACGGGATGAACTGATTGGCCACGGCGGCCTGACGCATTCCGTCCTCTTTAGTCCACTGCGAACGCCACAAAAACAACAACAAAGTCAAAACAAAAGAGAGGCAAGAAGCTGAGAATCAAACTGAAATGACACAGACAACCAGTTTTTGCAGGCTTCACTAGAACTAAAATCAACATGCTCAACTGAAAAAAAAAACACAAAAATGGCTTGGCATGAAAAAAATGACTGGAATGAAGTGAGTCAGCGATTAAAATATATTTTGTTCTGATCAACCGCTAGCATTACGAAAATTAGGGGCGCAGCTGAATCGATTTGGGATCGCTGAGTTTAAAGACCCTACCCAAACGACAAATATGGGTCTGGCTCATTCACATGACCTTATATTGACCTAAATTAAAATTATGTTCACATTACTTTGTTCCCCAATCATCGGTGATGTTTACTAAACCAAACCCATTAAAAAAAATTAAAAAAAAAAAGATCATGTGGTGTTGACATCACAGCGTGAGAATGAAGAGTAGAAGAGAGAAGGATGGGGTGAGGAGCGGGAGGGAAATGATGGTGCTTACGAATCGAGGAGAGCGGGCGGTGGAGTGTGAGCTGGCATCACCAAAGCTATTTTCAAAGCTGATTTAACAACAGGGATAAGGACAGGAAAAAAAAAAAAAAGAAAGAGAGAGAGAGAGAGAGAGAGAGAGAGAGAGAGCGAGAGAGAGAGAGAGAGAGAGAGAGAGAGAGAAAAAAAACCCTGTGTGGGAGGTTCCAATGTAATTCTTTTCTCTGTCAAGCACTATAACATAAAGTAACTTTTATTTTGTTTCTTCAAAATAGCCCCTGTAAATATCAGTTGTGCAAATAAAGGAATGCCCCCTAAAAAAAAAAATAAAAAAAAAAAAAAATCACCTAACACCTGTTATTCAGTCAATAAACATCACCCACCAACAGCACTATTTGTCGAAATACGGCATTTGTAGAGGTAGCCCCAGGATCCTCTTTGTAAAAAAAAAAAATAATAATAATAACCTGGTAATGCTCAGCAGGACTGTGATAAAACGGAATCAGTTTCAACCCAAAAAGAAGAATGAGCAGCAGGTGAAAAATCCAGCTTTCATGCAAGAATTCTTTTCTTCTTAAAAATTGTGCCTGCAGGAAGCTCATGAATTTTAATCGCGGTATTGGAATTAAATGAAGACAAGGGGAAGGAAGGTGTGTTAAGCATGAAGATGGACAGGTAAACACAAGATATATACTCACTGAGGAAGAGCATCACAACACAACATCTCCTACTTTTTCCAACAGGAGATAATTCATTTTTATAAAGCCAGGTCAAATTAACGTTTCCCCATCCCCGCTGCCAATCATGCAGAATTAAAAGAAAATTATAATAAACTTAATTAGAAGCAATTGCTATTTTCTTTTTTTTTTCTTTTTTGGGGAAAAGGCAAATCATAAATTCAAGCTGCATTATCCTGAAAAAGGGCATTCCGCCTGTCTTAAAGTATGCAAGCAATTCACTCTTTTAGCTTAATAAAGAAATGTAAAATCAAGTGCGTAGCAGAGCGGTGAGCACCCCCTGCTGCTCGCTCCTCTGGGAAAAACATCCTCAACAACGCATTTCACGATCCACACATGCAGTGGGGCATGCGGTGGGGCAGCTGGTCGGCCATCGTGACGCATTCAAGGACTGTGGGGGGGAAGAATAAGCTACACGATGATTAAAGCAAGCCTGGGAGAGACTTCAAAAATACTTGTAAACATGTATCAACACTAGGAACAACTATTTTGATATTGTATTTACAAGGATGGGAGAATCTCAGAATGTTCCGAACTCTTGCTTTTATGCCAGCGATGGATAATTCCATGCAATCTACTGAATTCTGCAAATCTTCAGTTTTCACTTCCATCCGGAAAGGGAGACTTTCCTAATTCTGCAATCAGTTTTCAGCAGTAAAATTGCAAAATTAGCTAATTATCCCATTAATATACTTGCCCTGTCATTTTTGATTAAGTAGTTTTCAGACAAGTAACATTTTAATTTTGTATTTAGAGCGAATTCTTGATTAAGCTAATTTGGATTTGTTTGCAGTTAAATTTAATTGACTTTCTTTGCGTTTTTGCAGGAAAAAAAATCTTTCTCCACCTCAATGTAGCATTCTCATCCCCATATTTTAAACAGTCAAAAAAAACTGAAAAAAGTGATTTCTGGAAAGGAGGAAAATACTGAGTAAAGTGGAGTTACTTGTAAATTTACAAACTTAAAAACAAATGTGAAAGAATCTCATGTTAATAGGAGTTGAGTCGTCATGCTTTTTAAAAAGTCTGGTTTTAGTGATCGAAATGGACCTGTTAAATGGAAAAATATGTATTTAAAACTTTTTATTATGTTTTTTCGTTGGCAATAAGGCAACAAAACTTTCCCCCTCACAGCCCAGTACACCAAGATTTTGACCAACTGCCGCCAACATGGCAGCTACTGTATATACAGACACACACACACATACACAAACATATACTATGAACAATAAGGTAGGCACAGACCAAGCAGTTGGTTATACAGCTTGGCACGCAGACACCGGACGAGAGAGACTGCAGCAAGGGTTTGACGTGATCGTGTGTTATGTTCGTCCACACCTTAGGCTTGGACTTGGGGCTGCCGCCGTCGGGCCCGTCCTCGCCGGGCTCATCGGGCCGACCGCCGGCATTGAGCCAGCGGGTCTTGTCACGCTGGCCGCGCTGGAAGCTGTGTTTCATTGGGGAGCGAGCACCCGAGTCGCTGTCCTCGCCGTAAGAGTAACCGGCTGAGTAAGCGTTCTCCACCTCACTGTACTTTTTACCTTTGTCTCGCAGTGCTGGACAGCGGTAAGGGTAGCCAGTCCTATAGCCCTGATGGGGACCAGACAGTCATGATTAAGGGCTTGTCAAACTCCTGCAAAACTCAAAATGTTTCAGGGTGGCGTACCAGGTTGTCGAGCATTCGCATGAGAGCTTCAAACTCTTGCTCCCCTACAAGCCACTTAGGTTGGACAGAGGACCCGTCGCCGGCAGGCTCGGGAACGCGAGGACGGGACTTGTACTTGCCTGGGTCAAGCATCACCAGGTTATCTGGGCCTCCAGCGCTGGCCAGTGTTCGCACCTTCAGGAAAAATAAAGGAAGCATGATGATGAATCTAATTTAAAAAAAAAGAAACAGGTGAGATACAGTATATGCATTTGAGAAAGTACACCTTTGCAATATAGCACTCAAACCAGGCTGTTTGAGTCGTACTTTTGCCAAGTAGAGCAAATAACATTGCAGATTCACTGGCATCAGTAGTTTCTTGAGCACCCTACCTCATCAGCATAGAGCGCATATTGGGCTTTTAATGAACCATAAAGTAAAAAAAAAAATTAAAAAAAGAATCAATTTCTCTCACCTGAATCTCACATGCATTGACCAGGTTGTGGATGTAATAGAATGCTTCCTCAACAGTTTCGCCCACAGACACCAAACCGTGGTTCCTCAAGATAATCACCTGAGGTGTAAGGAAGACATGAAAGTGTCTTAGGATGAAAACTAAAGAATATGAACAACAGCGCACATTGAGATGGTACCTTGGCATTTTTGCCCAAGTTCTTCTGAATGACAACTCTTTCCTCATCGTCCACCAGGATGCCTTGGTAGTCATGGTAGGCCACCTCACCGAGGGCAAGAGCCTCAGGCGAGATGGGGAGCAGGCCACATTTCATAGCTGACACCTGGAATTGTAATTTTAGCGTTGCACATTTTTCTTGGATATCTGCTCTAAAAAACATTTCCAATAGTTTATTTCCAGACTTACCGCTGCACCTGCAGCCGTGTGTATATGGACGACGCACTTGATTTCCGGCCGTGCAGCATAGATGGCGGCGTGCAGATTGAAGCCAGCCCCGTTGACGCCGAGGTTTGTACTTCCCCGATCTACGATGTCACCCGACAGGTCAATCTTCACCTGAAGGACAAAGGATTCAAAATGGAATGATAAAACTCGACAAAACGCAGAAGAAAATCAGAGCTGAAACAGTGATCAAGACTCACCAGGCTGGACGCGGTGACTTCGCTATACAGGAGCCCGAAAGGCACAATCAGGAAACGCTCTTGGTCTGAGTTCACCCTTACCTGGAGGACAGAAAGTAAGTTCCAATTCAAGAGTGGTTCCACCAATTTGGCGTTTCGCTGAAAATCATCTTACCGTGAGATGGTTGTAGATGAGTTGCGACCAGCCAAACAGGTCTGTGAGCCGGTAGAAGGCCGCCAGCTTGCATCTGAGAAGCTTCTCTCCTTTGTCATATGAGATAGAATCCGAGCCACGTAAATCGTTCACTGGAGTCACCATACCCAAACCTGAAGAAAAGTGGTTACATATGAGCAAAAAAAAAAAAAAGAAGGGAGCAGGGGGTACGGCCATTGCCAAACATGTTAACGATAGCCCTGCATCACAACTAAGAACAAAATTATTGTAGGAAAAGGCAAAGGAAATCAAAAGTAGACCAACAACTATGGGAAACTATCACCAAACTGACATGGATGTTTTGGCAAAAAATAAATAAATAAATAAATTGTGTGGCAACGGACTACAGACAGACAGAAAGTCAGACTTACTCATGCTGAGCGCTGCCATACCCCCCTGCGGTGCAGCAGGACACATGGAGGGCATGCTGGTGGTCATGAAATCAGCAATCTGCTGCAGCGCCAGCAGGCTGGTGGGCGTCTTGCCCTTCTTCAGTTGATCTTGGATCATGGACTCCAGCTCATCGCAGAACACCTGCAAAGTGAAGCCATCGGAAATACAGCACGACTCCTCCATGGAAATGCCGCAGAAGCTTTTCATACATCACAACAGACATATTTTAAAACAGTGGATACCTGTAAAGAATGTAAATCAAAACTTTGTGTGTATAATCGATTCTAAAAATATTTGACGGTGGCACGCCTAGTTTGTATTTTTAACTCCTTGACAAGCAATTAGAAATGGTCTTGCGTTGGAAACATTTGGTATAGTTGATCAAGGCAGCTAACTCCCCCACTGACCGGGCTCTGCAGGATCATGGAGACCCGCTTCTTCTGTTCCATCATGTTGAAGTCCTGGCGTAGGGCGGGCGCCACATTCCTCTCGCGCTGGTACTCTGGGCTGCTCTCGTCCACCACCCGGTCGAAATAACGCTCCTTGTGGGGGGCGGTGGCGGGAGGGTGGGCCGTCACCACGCCGGCACCTGAATCGCCGTTCATCCTGGCCTGGCCTCCTACAAAGAACAGTGACAGTTACAGCAAATTAATATACACAAGCACCAAGAAAGACTAACATTACCTTGCCTCAATATGATTAATTTGTTGTTGCAGCCCTAAAATTAACCAAAGCTGTAAATGCTTATTTGTCCTGATGTGCCCAATGGTGGAGCGTATTCAATATCTTGTGGTAATCCCCTCTTCCTCTCTCCCTCACATCTCAAATGTGCAAAATAAATATGGGACAAAATGTGTATGCGCAAGTCAGCATCACCTCTCATCAGATGTAAATGCTACTTCCTGTCACGTGACTGCCCTGAGAGGTTTGCCATTGATTTCCACTTGTGTGTTTCCTGGAATCGTGTCAAGCGCAAATTTTTAAAAAATAGTTTTTTTCAAACATGGTGTGCTCGTGAGATGAAGCAAGCCAACGGGTGATTAGACTCTGTCTGACTTCTGCAAGTGCAAACGCGCAAGGATAATGAACATGTTCTGGCAGCGGGAATTAATAATAAAAGATGTTCAGCCCAAAGTTCCATCACAGTGCTGCACTGAACCAAAACAATCCAATTTTGTCTGTCCTCACTCACTGATTAGATTTCAACACAAGCCTGGGCACTGTCTACTTTTGCATCCTGTGTGCAGTCTCTGCCAAGCAGAGTTAAAGGGGACGTATTTTGACAAAGAGGACTTTTTATATTTAAGTCATTTTATCAGCTAGTGATCGTCACATGACCAAAACACATGCCACATGCCGCAACACAGAAAACAGATGTGCCATGATTGATCATTATCTGACCCTTTAGGCACTACGGTGTCATTTTCAGTCGGCAGCAAGTGGCAAAAAACATACTTCATTCATATTCCACAAACGCCATATTAATCACAATACTGGGTTTAGGCTGGTGGGGGTGGCAACATATTGTTGTAAGAAATTTTTTGACTTGACATCCCCTTGAAAAAGGATATTATTTTTGCTCTAATATTATCACTACATCGGTGGCATAAAAAAATGATATAATCGTTTAAAACAATAGTTGCTGAGAAAATGTCCTTAAAATTTTTATTGTGACAAAATATAAAATTAACACATAACCGTTAGCAACAATAGCGTCAGCAGATAAAGGACGCTTTCTCCCTCCCGCCCACGAGGCAGATAAGATGTGTCATATCGCAACTCGTCATCCCGCCTCAAAAACATGGGCACAGGGACAGCAGGTGTTAGGTGGTTTGGCAATTCCCCAGTCCTGCTTGAGAGTGCCATCTCTATGGAGACCCAACTCGTTGCCAGGGGAACGGGATGGTCTTGTGAAGATTACTGTTATGTAAGAGCAGCTGTGGGCTAAGATCGTAGCAGTACAGTCGGTGTTACAAGGCGCACACCGCTAAGTTGTACGCACCAGCCTGCAAATCAGTGTAGTTTATGAAATGTATGGAGTAAATTTAAAAGAAAAAAGCTTAGCGTAGAATCTTCGCTGCACAATATCTGGCTTGTACAAATAGGGTGAAACAGGCAGGTGCTAATGTGCCACCTGATGCTTTCCATCCAGTTTAACTTTGTTAAGGCATGTAACACACACACACACACACACACACACACACACACACACACACACACACACACACACACACACACACAAGCTATGTCAGGCATTTGGTACTACAGCTTTGCCAGAAGGATAGCGCGCAAGTTTTACAGTGAGGCTTTTATCTGTAAGAGACTGCACAGGCCAGGCCAGACGTAGGATCGCGGGGCTGTGAATGGGTACAAACGAGGGCTTCATTTTGAAACGCACTGCAGTCGAGGGTGTGGCAAGAGTGTGAGTAAAAGAAACACCCACGCATATACGCACGCACACATGCATGCACGCACACACACACGCACACCCGCCCATGCATAAATAACGTGTGCAGTTACTGTTGTGGTAGCAACACACAGCCAGACTGACTCAGTCACATGGGAATTATCAGCCATTCTATAATCAATCCGGAAAGCTAACTGAAGGACTCATCCACATCCAGCATGAGAAGCGGCTGAAGGGGACGTCACAAAATGTGTGATGATAACCATAGAACCAGTAAACCCACTACAAAGTGTCTGGCAGCTCGGTGCATCAGTAGCAATTCAATATAGAGTGGATGTGCAATTATTTTAATGATTTTTTTTTTTTTTTTTTAACCGAGTAAATGCCAATGTAAATAGCTGGAAGCGCAACGGCTAATGACTGGATAGGAACAGTGTACTGTTCCCAAGTAGATGTTAATGTAAATAGCATGTAGCTGGAAGCACAATGAGTACTGACTAGCAAGGAACAAACTGTTTTCCAAGTAAACACTAAGACACAGGTCTGAAACGTGATGTGCCTCAAACGGAATGGTCTGCACTTTCCCCAGACCTGAATCCTCTTGAAAACCTGTGAGATCAGCTGAGTCGACCTGTGGGCTTCCCTTCAAGAAGAGTGGGGATGCCATTGCCTCAACAGACAATAATTCAACTTATGAACTGCATGAGACGTCGTCGTCAAGCTGTAATTGATGCTCAAGGGCACATGTCGAGTTATTAAGATTTTGAATTTTTTTTTGTCGTGGTGTACCCACAATTGTTGTGAACTTTGGTTTCAATTAATTGTTTGAGGTGAGGAAATCACCAGTGCATCCTTCTACTTAAATGTCCCACTTTCATATTACATTATATCACTGTAGCATGAACGTTTAACATTGTTCCATAAATTTCACCTGAAAGCCAAATACTGTAATAACTTTTTGTGAGTAGAACACATTCGTGTTCATGTCTCCTTATACTGTACTTGCATGCCAATTAAATGCAGTACCTTGAACTTGCCAAACACGAGCTGTTTAACTGTTTTAAATCATATCTTCGTGATAAGCTTCAGAATTTGGGAACACTACAATGCAGGACAAACCTTCTTGACATAAGAATAAATAAATATAGCATTATTGCTTGCAGTAAATGGGAAAACAACTACGGAGGACAAGCAGCTGTTTCAATTGTACAATAGAGCTCCACGGGCCTCCGTTAGCTTATGATAAAATGGGTTCAATCAAACCAAGACTATGTTTTCCTTCTTCTTAGGGTAAGCGGCAGACTTTTACAATAAAACAAATTGTTGGGCCAGAGTGTCGCAAAAACAAACCAAAAAAAGTGCACACCCACTTCCCTGCAGCCTCCATTGATCAAGCAGCGACATATTAGCAAAACAACGCTAGCTTGCTCGCATCTACTTTTAAAACATACGTCGCAAGTAAAACAAGCCAGGACGCATGTTGCGCCGGGCAAACGACGAAAACAAGTCACTGCGGAGCTTACCCTCTCGTAGACGATGTGATGAAATGTAATCGCTGTCAGTTAAAAGCAGGCAGGCGAATTCCGCTATTTTCGTCCACAGAATCTGTCGATAGCAGGGTGAAATTTTGCCCCTCCCCTTGTCGTCCCCCTAGTTTGGCTCCTCCCTCTCTACCATCACCCCCGACTTGGGTGCGGCCAAACCAGTAATTGCAGCTGCTCATTGGTCAAGCAGCAACATGTGACATTATTGGGACGTCTGATTGGATGACAACGGTGTAGCCACACCTATGGCATGGAAAGAAGTTCTGGGAGGAGTTGTATATGTAACACGTGACGTTACGGGGAAGTCTGATTGGATGATGAATTTTTTTAGCCCGGCACATTGAATGGAAAATGCATTTAAATTGGCCTTCCACTAGAGACTGCAATTGACAAACCTATGAGAATAGGCTTGCTATGTTGCTTCCATACACACACACACACACAGCTCTCTCGGCCACCCCAGATTTGAGGCGCTCTTTCATTTAGCATTTCTAATCAATTTAAGCTTTTAAATGTTGCAACGTGACATGCTAACGCATGAATGTAACCATTCATGGTTTTACCACGAGATGGTGTTGCTGTCACATGAGGCTGAACTCTAAATTGAGTGATCCCCGCGTGCATATGTTGTTTACTCTTTCACCTTTCAACCAAGATCTTGTAAATGTTTCTTGAAACTTGAAATGCTTTACATTCATTCATTTACTATGAGATGGTGATACCTTGTCAACACTGTTCCGGGAAGATGAACTCTTAACCTTGTAATTGGCTCCAATTCAGCATATGACGTCCTGATGGGTTTTTCCATCGAAAAAGAAGGCCAGATTTGCAGGGTATATGTGAGAGGGAAGAGCCTCAGGTGAGAACACAAACATTTCCCTTTGTCACACATATCTCGTTTTCCTTCAACAGGAAATATGCGATATAATGATATTTGAGGAGCTCAACAACAGGCTCAGCGTGGTTAGAATGATGAGAAGCGCTTGGTTGCACATTGTCGTGACATGATTCAATGATGACTATTGCTTCAGTGTATAGGAAGTGTGGGAAACACGTTTTGCAAGGCAGGGTTACCAAACCAAAGCTTAGGAGCCAAAACGGGTCCTGATATGGAGCACTACCTGCAAAATTCATGTCCCCTGTGGTCTTTATCGTTGGTTAATCATCACGGAAATGCTCTGGCATGTATTTTTATTCTTAACTTTTGCTGTTTACACCATTAATTGTGAGAGGACACTCTGCCGCGACCTGTGACTTTTGTCTAATAATCTTAGCCTGGTCAATACTGTACACAGTGTTCCTTTGAGACTGATCCCGGACCTCCGATGCTGACCCTTGCCGGGCTGAGAATAATTGCACAGTCTGCCTTTGCAGCATGGATACCACCAGCTCGAGTCGCTAAATATACCCAACTGGTGAGTCTGAAGAGCTCAGGCGTAGAAATAGTATCCTTCGACTGGAAATCCACACCTTGCAGCATGACGCTCTGTCCATTGTGCACAGGAGGAATTATTTCAGCCACTGCGATTTGGAGATTTTGAAAATGCAAAACAGCTCGCACCTTGCACAAAAAGTGGCAATGATGCAATATTGCTTCCATTCTCATTAAAAAAACATGCATGTGAACTTCTTTAAAATTGTCCATCGGTATGAATGTGTGTTTGAATGGTTGTTTGTCTATAGGTGCCCTTTGATTGATTGGCGACCAGTCCAGGATGTACCCCACCTCTTGCCCAAAGTCACCCGATAAGCTCCTTTTTGAGGACAAGCGCTAAATACATGGATGGATGGACATATATGTGAGCTTTGGAAAAAGGTCGTTCAAGCAACAAAGCATGCGGCGGACCAAAACTTTTGAACACTACTCCACGTGTATATCTTTTCAAAAGCAGCAGACCATCTCAAGTTGCAACAAATCATCTGCGCGGCACCGATACTTCTGCGCACATTCCTCGGTCACCTGTTTCCTCTTAGCAGCACATGTCAGCAAGTGAGTGAAGACAAAGTCAGCTGCTTTGCAAATTCATCTTATACCATCTGCCTCACCGGCAGACGATAATGAAGTCAAAAATTTATTTGTACAATTTCAAGCGATGCTACTCAGAAGCATAACCGCCATACTGCAAAACTCGGTGGGCTGTGCATTGGTTATCTGGGCCTTCAGTGGGGACTTAATCCACCTCTTAATACCACGATTATCTTGTTGCACTTAAACACCAATACTATTCAAAAATGCGCACGCACACACACATACACACACACACAAAATAAGCACCTGATGATGCCACATACTGTACATCATATGGAGCAGTTCAGAATCTATATTTATGTAATAACATGGCAAAAACAAAGCGTGGGATAAAATATCCAATCTACTCCAATTGATTTATAAAGTGAATTTAAAAACAACTGAGTTAACCACTGTGCTGTAGATCGGAAGTTAGGTAAAAAGTAGCACAAATAACAAAAAAAAAAAAAAATGTAGGACATATAACACAAAAACTCAATAAAATCACAGAATAGAAATACAGTTAAAGAGAAATAAAAGAATATTGTCTTATTTTTCATTTTTAGTGTTATTTATTCAATTAAGAAGTGTACTGAGTCACCTAAGACAGTTGTTCCCACTTTCCTCGTTCTAGAATTGAATAAAGTCAATGAAAGAAAATGGATTGATTGTCCAAGATTTTATTCAAATGTGAAATGCTATAAAGCGTTCCCGTGCGCTGCTGGTCGGTCAAGAAGTGTGGGAGGAGGAGGCTATACTGCAATTTAAAATATGTTTTATTTTGGGACTTTGCAATTTGGAGAATTTATGGGACGTTTCAAGTGTCAAGATGTCCTGAATGAGCTGAATATTTTGAAGTTGGAATGGTTCGAGTAAAAAAATGTGGAGTTTTAACTCGGGAATTTAACTGTGGAAGTAATATAAAAGCAACAATCGGGGTCTGCTGGAGGACCCCCTGCGCTACATCCCTCCTCAATAGGCGGCCCTCCTCCCTCTTCCTCCTCCCCCGAAGCGAGTAGCTCTGAGATCCCGGAGCGACACACTTTTCAACCAGTCTGGCTACGACCACCATGCGGATTGGGTCATAGACACAACAGACGCAGCGAACTTTGGCACACCGCTTCTTCTTTCCCGCACCGGGAGAACGAAGAAAGGAGTGGGAAAAAAAAAGCGTTTTTGGTGAGGTATAAGTTCATTGAAATTCACATTATTCCATGTTTTTGTTTTTTGTTGTTTTGCTAGCTCACTCGCTAGCCGCTGCTGAATGCTGCAGAGTCTCCGGTTGTCGTGCACTCGCTTGCACTTGTTGCTCCCCTACGGAGATGAGAAAACTATTTTAGGCGTTCCTGTTATCACTTTTCCCGAGATAGCGCCTTCTTTCGGAGTTTCTGTATCGTTTCCAAATCATAAGTGCGGAGTCTGGATAGTTAAAAGTTTAAAAGTAAGATTTCAAACGGTTCAAAAGCGTGGCGGTTATGGTGAGGAACATATGGTCCGCGGTCCTCAGGTACGGCAGCGTGATTTTTTTTTTCTTGAAGCTTGAACAATTATAAGGGGCTTGGAATTGTTTTCCTTTTTTCTTTATATGTTTCAGAATATCAAATAAAATGTTGGTGGTGCTAGCTGGAGATACACAAATTTCTTACAAGGGTTGATTTGTCTGATTTTCAATTCTCTTTTTTCTACTGTTAAAAAAAAAATTCTTAACTGTTATAATTACAATTAAAAACAAAGTGTCAAAATTCACATGATGTAAATGCATCATTAAGAAACTAGCATAAGATGAGTAGCAGATTTTTCAGACTTTTTTTTTTTGTCACGTCCCATAAAAGCCATTCTGGCACCCAAAGGTCATTGGGAGGTTTCTGCCCTTGACATGCATAAATTTAAGGCTGTTCTATCAACCGTAACAATAGCCCCCAATTACTTTCCAAAGACCTCCTCGCTGTAGAACATTAGAAACCAAAAGATACTGTTACTTGAAAAGCTGTGTAGGTTTGTGGGAGTTTCCTGTACTGTTCCTGAGTGCTGCGTAGCTGTAGCTAGTCAGTCTGAGGTTCCAATTGTTTCACCTGTATGTGTTTGCAGCTGTGGGGACTATGAAGGGGCAGGGAATGGCGTGGGGGCCTGGGCGTGTATTGTTGAAGCCCACTTAATTAGGCCCCACCATTTTCCCTCAAGCCTGTCTGGCGGGAGCACTGCATCCCCGGACTCCTATGGACTACAATTTCAGTCAGTCCACGACGTCCCTTTCCTTGTTGCATAATTCTTCCACCCCATTAAGTTTATTTGTCTTTGCCTGAGGCACGTCTGGCACGGGGCGGTGACTCGAGCCTTGTTGAAATGATGGACTGTCCGTCGCGTCATGTGACACCCAGGCCAGTCGGAATCATCGTGGTAGGGGGTTACATATCACAAGCTAGCCCTAACAGGATATTGCTGCGTGCGCTTTCACCAGCAGACAAATCATTAAACAGCTGGCAGTTGAGGCAGTTCTGTTGCTTGCGCTGACTTTGCCTCGGGTTAGAGGTTGTGTTTGTGTGTTGTGAGCTGGTCTTATTGAAAGGTTATGAAATGCCGGTAGACACGATTGACATATTGCTTATATTTGTTCTTTAGACACTGATTTCCCCGTCCTCATAACAGTTCGCTTTTGTTTCCAGCATACTATGAGATTGCACAACAAAAACATTTTGTAAAAACTGTGTTTCATAGTTTCTGTTCCTGTTGACCTGCGTACATCTTTTTCAGACAGATTTATGTTAAATTGATTCCTGGTAAAACGTATTCATCACAGACCATCTCTTGTTTTGTTTTTTTACATATTACCTTGAACCAGCAGATCCCCATGAGCTAAATTAAATGACACGCTACCCTCACTCTTGTTAGCGATAACTTTACCTTCTCTGAGAGGCTCCTTGTTTTCCACTCTTAATCAATTTGAAGCGGTCAGGAAAGGGGGATTTGGTCAGCGGGCTGAAAAAGAGTATTGTTCCGGACATGAACTTTGTGCAGGAATTGTGCCCATCTTGCATCTGTCATTGTGTTATTTGAAATTTTAGGTAGAAAAAAATACTACTGGCATTGGTACTTGGTATTGTT